TGGTGACATTTTTTCAATAATATATGGAATCAATTACATCACATTAAGCACGAAATTTTGGTCATCAATTGGTGAGAATGAGATGAGAAAATCACAACAAAGTTTTGCTAAGTCTTTAAGTTAGCATTTTTTTTCAACAATTGATGAGAATTTTATTAAACTTGGTGGAATAAGTTTTATCCAGTGTTTTGAGACCCGGACCGGCCCGGCGGGTCGTCCCGGGACCCGGTCGACCCGAGCCGGAACCGGTCCGGGTGGAGTATTTGGACCGGGCAACCAAGGACCCGGTCAAACCCGGTCAAAACCCGGCCGACCCGGTAGAGACCCGGCCGATCTGGGGCATTGACCCGGCCGGGTCAACCCGGTTGACCCGGCCGGGTCAACCCGGTTGACCCGGTCCATATATATTTTTTATATCTTTTTTTTGTTTTTTTAAAAATAAAAATATGTATATATGTTTATATGATAAATATTTATCATGAGATACATATTATTAACACTTTAATATACAAATTTTATACACAAATCATTTAATTTTGTTACTTTTATGTATATTTATATAACAAAAATACTCTATATATAATTTTAAAAATTTTAAAATTAATTATCCGGTTCAGCAATTGACCCGGTGACCCGAGGACCTGTCCGAGTTGATCACCGGACCGGGTTTAAAAACTATGGTTTTCTCTACCAAAAAACTCACTCATGGCTATAACTAAAGGCCATTTTTTATGATTAATTATGTTTGGATAAGAATAAAAGTTAATCATAAAATAGTTTATGATTAATTAAGTTTATAAGTTTAAATTGTTTATTTTGTTCATTTCTTCACTCCATTATGATGTTTTGCCAATTTGTGCCTATAAATGGAGGCCTAAAAATCAGATTTCTCACACCAAAGTTTATCAAAAGTTATATAAGAGTGTAAGAGTGAATGAGTAGTAGAAACTTTGTAGAAGTGAAGAATTAAGTTACGATTCTAGCAAGAATGAGGTAATTTACTTATCTTAAAGTTACATGCTTGAGTTCATGTTTTGATAATGAGTTTACATGTTTAGTAGATGATATTAAGTGTTTAATAATATTTTTAATGACTTAGATATTAAAGTTTTATATGAATATAAGCATGCTAGAAAATAAGTTATTTCCAGCTCATATATATGTCATATGTGTTAAGTTATGATGAGATTTTTACATAGCTATGAAAAATCTGGAAATCTATGCTTCCTATGGTTATTTCTTGTGTAAAAAAGGAGTACATAGGATCAAGAATCAAGTCATTTAGTTTAGTATAACTCAAGATATGAATTTTTAAAGTTTATCATGCAAGCTGAATTTTATGTACTTGTTTCCAGCAGCAACTTTAAACTTGAATAAATCGAGATATATGCATGATAAAATTATGAAATTTTTATGACATGTCTAAATATGAGTTAAGAATATGACTGTTAAGTTTCATAATTTAAAGATGAGAAATGAATAAGTTATGAATATAAGAAAGCATATATGTAAAGATAAGTATATATATGCAAGAATATTCATGAAATGTTTAAGTTGTTAAAATAAGATAATCATGAGTAATTCTCATATAAGTGATGAGTAATTTGATGAAGTTTTGGTATAATATGTTGAGTATACAATTTTATAAAGATTGTATTAAATATGACATATTAACATCATGATTAAATGTTATGAGTAAAAGATGATTATGGCTTGAGATTATTTTCACTTTCAAGTTAATTAAGTGAAAATTTAGTATAAGCCAATATCTAAAGATTGGGAAATATGATGTATGATGAATTAAGTATTTAATCAAGTTAAATTAAGATAAGTTATAAATCATGTTGATGATGTTGGTAAAAGTAAGCATGTTTTAAGTTTAAATACTCAATCAAGTATAATGTGAAATATAGTTATTTTCACATTTGAGTTATGACATGCTAAGTATAATACCATATTGATGTTTATGAAGACATGATTTATAAGGTTAAGTAGTTGACCTTAAGTAAAAGTAAAAAGAGAAGTTAAGTATAAACTTGAGAAAAAGCAAGTTTAATGAATTTCTATAAGATTTGGATAAGTTAATAATCCTAAAATTCTTATTGAGTATACGAGCATAGTACTTAGTATATTTGTTTATATTTGATGTAACTTGCAGATACAGTACCAGTACAGCACTTATCGTTTTTCAAATGATTTCAAAGACAAAAAGGTGGGGACCCTGAATGGGTATCACGTTGAGTACGATATTGATGTCATATGGGATGAGGAGACCATCACTTGTCTCAGAGTATATCCTACAGATTAAGTTTTACGCTTAGGATGAGGAGGCATTAATTTGTTCTCAGAGATTATATCCTAAGTTCTGATGGAGGCCATTAGGTGCCTTAGAAATATCCATCAGAGTGTGCACACGTATCCGATCAGATATCGGCCAGTTTAAGTTTCAGTACCAGAACAGATTTCTGGTTACCGATCAGATATCGGTTTATGATTCCCCCATGAGTTTTAGTTTCAAGTAACAGGTCGAAGAGGAGGTGTGAGTGGAGCAGTGTTGGTGTGGATCGTGGACTCAGATGAAGACAAGCTTTGATACGGACATTTATAACAATCTGTATAATTAACCACATTTTCAAGTATTTCCGCTATGCACATTAAGTATTGAACTTGCATTTTAATGAATTTCAGATTTCAAGTTTTTACCATTATGAGAAATATGATTATGGTATTTTAAATGCAAGTTTAAAGAAAATCTGTTTTATTTATGTCTAAAGAAGTATTAGACAAAAGTTTAAAGATAAACGGATTTTCAAGATGATAAGTTTGAGTAGCATCCCGAGTTAGTCGCATAAGATTTCGAAAGAGTTAAGCATTTTCGAAGTAAAAGTTGCGAAAAATTTACTCTGATAAGCGGGGTGTTACACAATCTATATACCAAACTGATGAGAAGAGCTTGTGTGTTGAGTTTTGTCAGCCTCATCCACTGGAGTTTCTCTAGATGGGGAGTGTCTAGAGCTAGAGTTGTTATGCCCAGGCCAAGATTGGCCATCATCTGCTTTGATCCACTCACCATATTGCCCATCTCTCAGTGTTTTATTCCTGATGTCTACAATTCTTTTGCAACAAGTTATGTCAAGATGCCCAATTATACCACAGTAATAGCATAAATTAACTAATTCTTCATACTTGAACCCCACTTTGACTATATCATCACCTAACTGAAAATTAGCACATCTGGGTAGAGGTTCATTGATATTAACCGTCACCAAGAGTCTGAGAATCTTACCCCCATGGTTCCCAGCATTAACAACTACCACATTATTAACTTGAGGGAAGACGTTCCCAATTTTGAGACCAACTTCTGAACTAAGCCAGTCTAAAGGTAGATTGATTACCTGAGCCCATAAGTTAAGTTCCTGGAAACCTTTATGCTTGCGGGTAAGACCGGATTCCCATTCTCGAAGTATGAGATACTGGTTCTCGAATATCCATGTGCCGCTGGCCACCTTTTTCATATCCTCTCTGTTTTTGAATAGGAATTGAAAGAAATTGTGCCCCAGCTCTTTAACCTCCATTGTTTGATGTAGTTTCCAAATGTTGCTCATAGTTCGCTTAATACCTACCCAGCTTGCTTTTCTATCTCCAATGACCATCCCAAGTAAGCTACGATTGTATTCGTCTGCCCTGAGTCTGATATCATCTTGAGCGATATCCACTATTGAATTTTCCCTAGCTGAGAATGAAAAACCTTGCAGCCTTGCTGCCAGATCCTCATCCCGTCCCACACAATCTTTATCAGCCATTAAGCTTAGCTTGGATCACTGAATATCTATCGGAGCAATTGAAAAAAATCAGAAAACGATAACTGGTCTTACAGGGGAGAATCGCCGGAGTCACTCTCACTTGAGAGAATTTTTTGATCTCCCTAGCTTAAAATTTGTGTATTCCCTTAAAGATAAGATATAGTTAAGAGTTTCAAAAATTTGTTAAATAAATAATTCTTAAATCAACAAAAAACATAAAAACAAGGTACAAATAGTTTGGTATCTAGATTGCGACTTTTAACTTGATATGTTTTACATGTTAAACAATATAAAAATGAAATTACTTATGTTCACTTATTCTATTACATAAAAATGGCCGTCCAATATTAAATACTATTTTATTTAATAATTTGTTTTCCCTATAATCAAACTCACTAAATACATCTTTATTTAAAAATAAATTAAATAAAAGAATATGCATAGAAATTTAGAAATAAATTAAATATAAATATATAAATATATATATATATGGCCCCGTTTGGTAGATAGCGGATTGAAGGTAAATTAGCGGATTGGACTTAATTGAGAGGTTTGACCCGTCAAATCCGCTATTGAGTCTGTTTGGTAAATAGCTTATTTGATAAGCTTTTTGGGCTCAAACCTCTAATTTAGAAAAAGCTCATTAAAGGAGCTTTTTGGGGATAGAGGATTCACAAAAAAACTTTTTACTTGGAACTTTTTAATTTGTATTATTTATTTTAAAATTTATATTGGTTTATGGTGCCAATAAATAATAATATGTCATCCATATGATTAATTTATCTAGAAAAATATAAAATTCATAACTTCTTCATCAAGTTTTAGGCAATTTAAAGAAAAAAATAATATATTTATAAATTACCAACTAAAGAATATTAAATGTTTTAATATATTATTATTAAAAAAATACACCCTAAATAATAAAATATTCTTATTGGTCATTTTGTAATGTCAAACAGCTATAAGCTTTCAGCTATTTACCAAACACTTATTTAAAAACCGCTAATGCAATCTGCTGGTCAAATCAGCTAATATAATCCGCTATCCACTATCCGCTGATACAATCTGCTATCCGCTATCCGCTATCCGCTGATTGCCAAACAAGGCCTATATATATATTGATGGCTGAGAATGAGATTAAAGTAAAAATTTGTTTAATATATATTGAATGGCCCGCTAATTAATATATATTGGAAAATTCACTAAACCCTAGCCTCTCTATCTGCTCTGCACGACATATCCATTTATCAGATTCGATCTTCTCAATCCTCATCTCAATTATCGGCGACGTCTCTCCTCTGATTTCCGACCGCCGGCTCCGCCTCTCATCTCCATTATCGGGGACCTCCCCCTCTGATTTCCGACCTCCGCCCGGCGCGCACGCTTCCGCTTCCGGCCTCCGTATCCGACGCCCACGTCTCCGACGCCCACGTCTCCGTCTCCGCTTGACGACCTCATTCCTCACGATTTGGCTTCGCCTTGGCTTCAATTTGGCTTCGATTTGACTGAATGTGTGAGTTCTTTTGGGGTGTGAGTTTGTAAGGTGTTGTGAATTTCGAGTTTAATAATCTCATTATTGTCTGTAACTTTGGCCTGCTTAGTGCTAATTGCTGTGACTTTGAAGTGTTGAAGGACTTGTATATTGTTTGTAAATTTGTCCATTCAAATAAAAACTTTGGCCCTGGTCTCTTCGTTACTCATTGGCCCTGGTCTCTTCGTTACTAATTTGGGTAACCCGATTACCCGACGGGTAAAACCCAACCCGAACCCGGTGATGGGTAATCGGGTAGCGGACCGGGTACAGGTACGTCAAAACCCGCACCCGATCCGACCCATTTACATCCCTAACTGTGGCTTCGAATTGTTAGATAACCGTTCATATACATACATTTGTATTTATGTTCTTTGTGCTTTAAGAAATTGAATTGATTATTTGTTCAATATATATTAGAGTTTGTTACTTTCGATGCTTAGGAATCTGATGTTGAATTAATTTTTCGGAAACTCGTTTGATTTGGTTAGCTCCATGTTGGTTTGGACATTCTTTGAAATAAAGTGTTTCTTGTTGTTTGCAGTGCATATACTCTTTCTCATGATCATTTTTTATATTTATTTTTTTCCCTTTCAGGTGATATATAATATTGGCGTTGAGATGTCTCTAAGTGTGATGATGGTCAGTTCTATTGCACTACAACCTACAGGTGTGTGTATTTCCATCTTCTATTATTTAGATTAGCTGAATTCATTGCAATTTTATTTATCATGAGTTTTTCTTTCAGCGTGTGAGATTTGTGTGTCTGAAATGCTGTTTTAGGAGATTCAAGGTTTGAGTTAAAAGTTTCTAAACCTGCTAATTGAATAATAAATATTTGCTAGGCAGACATTACCTTTGTTGTCTTTCGAATTTAGTCATGAGACATGTCTTATCATTCTATTTTCTAGTTTTCAGTCTGTTGGTTTGGTAATTTTTTTGATGTGTTCTTATCTATTGACATTATTTTTGCTGATTATCGAACTTCTGCTTTCATATTCTTTCGTCTCTGGTGAACCGTATTTTATGATTACACAAAAACTTACTACCATGGTCAGGGTGAAATACTATTTCTTCTTCAACATTGATTATTTATCTCTTGGATATAAACACAATTTCGACTTCAAGATTGTAAATTCTAAGTTGGATCTTTTTTATTTACAGTTGGATTAAAAGATCACTGTTTGAAGCCCAAAAGGAATGTTCTATCTAGTCCAGTTGGCCTGAAGCCTCTTTGCATGCAGTTTTCTTTTGGGAGGAGCAAAGCTCATACCATTCAAGTGAAGCGTGCATCTGTCATTTGTTCTGGTGCTATGGTAATTCTTTTTTTCGAGATGCCCTTTTTACTGTTTATAATGAGTATCAAATCATATCTTTGGGATGAATCACTTGTTTGCTTAACAATCGTCAACATCACGTTAGAATGAGTAGCATTTCAAGTCCTTCAAATAGAATGCAAACTAGCTGAAAAGCATGTTTCACTCACGAATCTGATGTCTTGAACTTACTGGAGAACTATATCTTCTGTTTGATCTCCTTATTCGGCATATACTTATGGAAAACTGATTTATTACTTTCATTTGCAGAGTGCCAGATGTTCTGCTGAACAGACCCAAACAATAACCCGCAAATCATCTACGATTACAGTTGCACCTGCACCTATACAAGGTACTTAAAGTTTAATTTCGTTTTCCGTGTTGTGTGTGCTACCTTTTTTGGTTTACCACTCACGAGTTAAAGAATCTGTCCGGGCTTAAATTTGATCATGTTCCAAAACAAAAAGAAGGAAAAAGATAAAAAGAAACTAAAATGTGCCTCTTTCGTAACATTTTTAGGGTCGTAACAACACATAATCTTGTGATTAATTGAATGCAGCTTTGCTTGCATCGATATTTTCTTTTTCTCAAATGTCATCATCTGCCCTATCTATAATTTGGTTGGATAAAATATTACATTTTCTTTCACTTAATCCTCCAATACAGTACACAAATTTGGAACCTCAAGCATTTGCAACACTTCTTGTTTAATTTGTATGTATTCCAGGAAAAGAAAAATCCCCGGAGCTTGATGATGGTGGAGCGGGATTTCCTCCACGTGATGATGGTGACGGTGGCGGCGGCGGTGGCGGTGGCGGTGGTTGGACTGGCGGTTTTTTCTTCTTTGGCTTCCTTGCTCTCCTCGGACTTCTTAAGGATGAAGAGGGTGAAGGGACGGATAAACGGAGATGAGACAGAGTGAGGGGGAGAGAGAGAGAGAGAGAGAGAGATTGTATCCTTGTTATATTTTTATTCTATATTGGAGGAGAATAATATTCAAGAGATCTAATTTTTTTTTTCATTTGTTTATATATATGACTTGTGCAATTTTGAAGATTGGTGGCGTATTAGCTCATGGTTATGAAGAGCATTGATAATTGTCAAAGTAAAATGCCTGTATCTGTAGCTAAAAGCCAAAAAGTTGGAAAATTTATATTAATCATGGGGTTATTATGTTCCCGAATTCAAATTTATTTGATTGATTTGTTAGCTTAATTCATCTTGTCAAATCAGCCTGTGTTTGTCTTAAAGGAAATTCGTGCCGATCCAGGTCGAAATATACCTAAGCTTGGTACTATTTAGATGATTAATCATGTGCTACTTTGTTCCAGAATTGTTTTAATGCTGTAAAGTGCTGGCTTTGGAAGCTTAGTGAATCCTGGCAAAAAATGAAAAGAAAAAAAATCTGAAAACTGCACTTGTTTGGCAGGCATTGTTGTTGTACGATCTCAGGTAATCGTGTAGGTAGATTTCCAAGAAGAAATCCTGGAATTTGAGATTCTTATATATGGTCCTAAGGTTGTTCTCACTTCATTTTTATGCATAACTAAGAATCCCAGATTTTTATTGCTAAAATGAAACAATTTCCCCTTATTTGACAGGTAACAGTGCAACTATATTCATGAAATGTCAAATTGCAGTGAGTAGAGGACAACACGCATTTATGTGCTTCATTGTTGTGAGGATCTTGAAATTGTTGCACGAGACCGTGTGTGCTTTTTGACAACAAAACTT